TAACGTGAATCTGCAAACATGCCAAATGATTTTAGGTGATTCAAATATGTCCCTCTGAATTGAGTTGTTGGTATTTGTATTTCATATCTGCTCCCTATAAAACACTTAAAGTTAAACATTGCATTACATTAAATAATTAAATAGTGTTGTGCAAACATTGGTTATATTTGTTTTATATATTCTTAATTGTGAGATGTGATGTTGTTCTTCAGATGTCACATACAGTATTATGTAAATATTAATTGCAGCTTATTCAGCCTTATCTCAGTGTACATGTAAAAATGTTCAGTTAAAAATCAAGCAAGCCAACAACTTAGTACAGCTAAAAATCCAATAATCAATAAGTTGATTGACAGAAAATGTATTGGAAACGTTTGTAAGGTTGGAGTGACGTGAATTATTAGTAATAATGTTGATGTTTGGACTGCTGCCTGGCCAAAACACTGGTTAATAGCGACGGTCTTTTTTTCCTCTGTAGTAAATATTGACTTTGACACATTCTGACTTTTGAAAAGCTCAAGGTGATTTGTATTTGTATTCTAAGTGTAATCCCACATGAACCCTGAAGAGGTCAGTGTATGACAATCTCTTCACAACACTATGATCCTTTCACACAGAATTAAATTAAAATAGAACAACAGACACTAAAGCAGAGATTGACACAGATGAAGGTCAGTCAGTAGGACTAACATACTGAATAGGACCAGAGATCTTTACCACACTGACACCTGCTCACTTATATGAACACCTTAGCTTTGTGGGGTTTCCCCTGTTTTCAGCGGTGTTGAAGATGGATACACGAAATTCCCACCGTCTGAGACACCAAAGTTATTTGCAAAATACTAAAAACTTTAGACAACTTTACAGCCATGTGAAGGAATTATGTTACTACCGTCTCCAAGCTGCTTCAGGAGTCCATTTGTTTGTTTTGGAGGATGTTCTTCACACCAACACCGAGTTTTTCTGTCATGATTTTGGCTGCTTGGGACTCTAGGTTCACTTCTCTCTGAATCTTCACTTCACAAAGGTAAGCAACTACTACTTGTGCTAACAGGCATATTGTGAGCCCTTAGCCAGCTAGCAATGTTTGGCTAAACTAACTAATGGTTTTTGACTTACTCTGGTAGTTTAGCTAACAGTTAGTCTGATGTTGGGATAGCTTTAGTTCAACAGTGAACTTCAGAGAAGAGGCTATTTTGCTTTTATTGGTAGGCTGCTTTTATGTTGCTCACAGAGGTAACTGCTTAGTTGACAGTAACCCAGTGTATCTTTACTAACGTTTATTAAACAATAATCTAAGCTAGCTAACGTTACCGTGTTGGTGTCCCTTCTTTGTGGAAATAACGGTTTTTGGACTCATCAACGGTTCTGTTGTATGACGTTTTAATATTCTACTACTCAGGACTCTTTAAAATGTTTTGTCATTTACTCCAGAAATCACAATGTCACCTCACTAAACACTTCGAGCTTGTGCTAATATGTAATTTGTGAGTTAATGTGTTGACTTTGGGTCCTTTCATAAGCTAATCATGTTTGGCTAAGCTAACTAACGGTTCCAACATTCAAATTGGTAATGCTAAGCTAACGGTTAAGAGGCTAACGTTGGGCTAGCTAACAGTGCACTTCAGACTTCCTCCTTGTCTTTGTACTAGCTGCTATTTTGTTTCTTACAGATTTAATTAGATAGATTACAGTAGCCTATGTGTATCTCAACTAATGTTAATTCAAAGTGATCTAAACCGAACGTTACTGTTTGGGGTCCCTTAGTTTTGTGGCAGCTAACAGTTTATTGACTCACCAACGGTTATCCTGACACCTTACACCTGAAGTAGTGATGTGTCGGTCGCGAACGAGCCGGCTCAAAGAGCCGGCTCTTTTAAGTGAACGACGGGAGCCGGCTCGCGCCCGCGAACGAGCCGTTTTTTTTTTGTTTTTTTTTTTATTTTAAATTTTTTTTTTTTTTTAAGTAATACAAGACAGAATGATATGATGATCTCCGCGCTACAGCTGCTCCGTGCATGCATGCAGTGACATGTAATATCCAAGGATTAGAGACTGTTGGATGCTGCTGTTTTGAGCATTGCAATACATTTATTTTTATTATGTTTTTTTTAGGGCTGTCAAGTTAACGCGTTAATAACGCGTTAACGCAAAAAAAAATTAACGCCACTAATTATTTTAACGCGATTAACGCATGTGTATTTTTTGTCCTCGGCCGCCGTAGTTTCAGAGCGCATCGAGTGTAAAATACCATCGACAAGCTGATGCTGACAGCCCCGCTCCTGCCGCCCGCTTGTGGCAGACCACACTTCCACGCTCACCGGCAGGCCCGGACTGGCCATCGGGAGGACCGGGAGGGAGTGTGTATGTGTGGCGCGACTCGCGCGAGCGAGGCACACCTACGTGTTGTTGTTAGCATCTGGTGCTAGCTAGCTGCGCTAACGGATATAAGGAGCTGTTTCAATGACATTTCGCCGACAACTGCGCCGAGCACTTGACTTTATGCAGGTAGCCAGACAGTGGGACATTGTACGAAAAGTCAGCGCAACATTATTGCAGCGTCCAGGCAGCTCCCATTCGAGCATATATGCCTTGAGCTGCACATAGCTCAACGATCCATCACAGTGTCTCCACACACACACACACACACACACACACACACACACACACACACACACACACACAGTATTATTGTATGAGAGAGGTTCCAGGTTGAATTGAGGCGAATATTTGTAATGTTCAGGTTGTTGTGTTTAATATTCATGAGAATATTTGTCATTGTTCAAATGATAATAAACAAACATATAAAGCATATTTGTCCACTCATATGTTGATAAGAGTATTAAAAACTTGAAAGATATCCCTCTAAGGTACATTTAGAACAGATAAAAAATGTGCGATTAATTTGCGATTAATCGCGATTAACTATGGACTATCATGCGATTAATCGCGATTAAATATTTTAATCGACTGACAGCCCTAGTTTTTTTATGATTAGAGACGGTTGGATGCTGCTGTACTGAGCATAGCAATATATTTATTTTCACTATGTTATTTATTTATGATTATCCTTGGGCTCAGCAAAGATTTGATGTCAGCTGTTGCTGTCTTTTTTTCTATAGTTAATACTGAAATAGAGCCCTGCTGTTTTGTCAGGGCCCTTTCTTTAAATATAATTTTAAAATGTCGATACAGTAGCCCTTTTTTTTAAATGTCTATGCTTAAGTTTTTGTGTTGCTATCTGCTTTGTGTAGCGTGGTTCTACAAGCAAGTCAGTGCATTCATTGGATGGTATCAGAGAGATACAAGGGTCTGTAAATGCAATGAAAACAATTGGCCACAGCAAATAATTGATATTAAACATGTAATTTTTACTTTTGAATACTTCAGTACAAAGGATGTATTGAATAATTTAAGTGATATGTGTACACATATAAATCATTAGTCAAAACAGGGCTACATTTGATTGAATTATAAAAGGTATAATATGTGGTAAACTGAAGAGCCGTTTGGGAGCCGAAAGAGCCGGCTCTTCTTGGTGAGCCGAGCCAAATGATCCGGCTCACCAAGAAGAGCCGGAATTCCCATCACTAACCTGAAGCTTTAATATTATTCTACTTCTGTCTTCTTGGGACTTTTTTACATTTTCTGTCCTTGACAATAGAAGTACAATTTCACATCACTAAGGAAATACTTTGCCGTTTGTGGCAAAATGTTTATGGTGAGTTAATGTTTGGACTTTGTGCCCTTACAGTACGTTACTGTTCGTGGTCCCTTAGTTATGTGGAAACGTTAACAGTTTTGGACTCGTCAACATTGGTTGTCAGGTTTACTATGCTGGTTATGGCTTCTTTGGACTATTTAAAATGGTTTATTATCTTTGTCTCTGGAGATTTACAGCTTCACCTCACCAAGGTTAACATTTGCTACATGTTTGTTGTTTATTGTGAGTTTATTTGTTTGATTTGTGCCTTTGCATGAGCTAGCTACGTTTGGCTAAGCTAACCAACGGTCATGGCATTGTTATGGGTAACATTTCAAAGGCTAACTTTACTATAGCTAATGTATGATATAACTTGCTCATCTTGGCTCTATTATTTTAGCTCACTGAGTTTTAAAGGTGAAAAAAGCTGTGAATGTTATCTTCTCTAGTTTATTTTACTGTTAGGCATCCCTGAATTTATTGGAAAAATAACTTTTTCTCATGTTTTTTTTTCCGACTCCTCACATGAACGGTTTCTGCAGTTATTCCTGTCCTAATTCTGGGTTATTAGGACTCTTTTAAAGAGTATATATTGAGAAACTTCATGTTGGTAAAATGTCTGAAACACCTTCAATCATAAGAACATGATCATTTAAGAATTGACTGTGAGGAACAACATTATTTTGAATTTAAAATCCTGTGTCTGTGTAATGTCAGAACGGTAATTCAGTCTGCCTTTCAGCTTTTGAACATGAGAAAAAGGGAGCAGGGTTTTTAGTAAGGGAGTGGCATTAAACCACATCACTGTGTACTGGCAGCGCAGAAATACACAGCCGAGTCTGATGCACTGCCACGAGGAATAATCAGGGTTCCTTTTTTGATGTCTTCTCTTGTTATCTCAAACCGCTTTTCAAACTCCTTCTCATAGATAGGGTCACTGCCAACGTTGATGCTATATCCAATCAAATTCATCAGACCTTTCTCTGTTTGTTGGTACCAGAGCATGACATATAGATTGTTATCATTATGACTGCATTTAATTTCTTCCCTGGCTTTGTCGTTGACTATTCTGGGATGAGACGGCTCAAACACCACACCCTCAGCTTGATCTGTGGACAAACATATTGAAAATGTAGTTAAAACAGTAGTCACCATAAAAAATAAAACCATTCTTATAAATAGCTGTTTTTTGAAGTAATTTCTTTACATGAAAGCAAGAAGAGGATAAATGCTATCATAGCTGGAGACATCCTTCAGGGTTGTGCTGTAGCAGGAGAAACACTGCTACCTCTGATAGTGTGTAGAGATACCGCCTCCTGTGAAAATGCACAGATCTCGTGTTCAGGAAAGAGATGAGGGTTTTAGTAAGGGAGTGGCATTCACCACATCACTGTGTACTGGCAGCGCAGAAATACACAGCCGAGTGTGACAGGTTTGCTGAGCGTATAATCAGAGCTCCTCTCAGCGTGTCTTTACTGTCTTCTCTCGTCAGCTCAAACTCTTTTTCAAACTGACCCTCATAGGTTTGGCCGGTTGCATATCCATACCCAATGAGGGTCATAGCGAGACTGTATTTTCTCTGCTGATACCAGAGCATTACTAAAAGGGAAGAATCATCATGGCTGCATTTAATCTTTACCTCAGTGCTCTCCTCTACTATCTGAGCAGGAGATTGTTGAAATGTAACAGCGCTCACCTGACCTGTGGAGAAAGAAAATTGTAAATGTCATTGACGGAAATGTTATAAAATGTTAATTATATTTAGTGGTTACATTTATGTAATTCATTACAACGTGTGAGATAATCATCTTACAGTAAAAACAGAAGAAAACAAAGATCTGCAGAGGTGAAGACATGGTCTGGCACTGGTGTGATGAAAAGCATTTCTCTGAGAAAAATAAGTCTCAGGGTGAAGAGGGAGGGGGTTGGGTTAGTGTGAGTTTGTGGGTTAATTTATCACCACATCCCCATGATAAAAGCTGCACACTATGTGCTGTGCCTCCACCTGTTGGTTGAATCAGGACCCTGCTCTAAGGTGTTGTTGATAAAGTCTTTATATGAACTAGGGATGGGAATTTGAAAGCAAATGCATATTTGAATATTCGACCCCCCAAAAAACGGTTAACTGATTAACCGAAATGTACATATAAAAAAAAAAAAATGTGGGAAAAATGTTGACAAAAAATAAATGCATGTTCAAATAAGTATAGAAACCAGTGACGTGCGGTGAGGTTCATGGCTGGTGAGGCACTGACTCTTTCAGAGTCAGATTTACAAATATTATATGTTGACCTTAAAGGTGGGGTAGGTAAGTTTGAGAAACCGGCTCGAGATACACTTTTTGTTATATTCCATGGAATGCTCTTATTTTAAGTGCTTTGACAAAAAATCCATAAAAAAATGTAATCTGTGGAAGCCGTAATACTGTAAAAAGCACGACCAATCATTTTAGCCGGCCCGGCTAAAATAACTGGATGGCCTACCTGCCTGTCAGCCTTCCATCTGTGCACAAACTTATCTCGTGCCCTCATTGGTCATGTGCGCGTTCGTGTGTGTTGGAGGCTGTGTATTTTCAAATTCTAGCACACTCAAACTGGTTTCTCCAAAATTACCTACCCCACCTTTAATCGAAATATTCTGTTATTTTCAAAAGTTTTTTAGTCTGATGCTATGATTAATTTTAAACAGATCGTTCAACAAAAGGATACCCAAAATCTAAATATTGGATTGTTCTTTCTTAGTAAGATCCCATTTTCATTACAATTGTGGTCTTACCTTGACTTGAAGATGAAGTCCATGCTATCCTTCTGGACAACAATCTCTATTACTTTTTTGTAAAAGTCCTCCATATCTCTCTAGTTTCAAAAGTCTAGTTTGTTGTTTGCGTCTACCATCTCTGCGTAGAATAACAGTAGCAACATGAACCTGTGGGCTCACGTGCGCCCCCTTCAGTGCGGCAGAGGTTATGGCTGCCTCCTGGTGCTTTTTTCATTGCCGTTGTACGATGAGACCAGCGAGCCTAAATATCATATATACGTGAAATAAGTTATTTAGAGACTATGGATGGCGAGGATAAATGTAATAAAGGGATCTACATACATTACATTGGTGACCTACAGTGAGATGGTAACAGGCATGCGCTTAGTGCCCGCTTTCCAGCCAGTTTCTGTGGGGTGACGCATTCTGAGGTGAGGCAGATCTCATCTGTGCCTCACCTCACCCCACAGTAACTGGCTTGAGCGCGCTCACAAAATAAGTGGCCGCGCTAAATTAGTGCCCGCGCTCCAGCAAGTTACTGTGGGCTTACGAGAGGCAGAGCTCGTCCCTGCCTCAATCCTCATCGCTCCCATGTAGCCTAGTTGTAGCGGAGCTCGGCAAATTAGCTGATTTTGACTATAAGAAGTGGAATCATACAGAAATCACATTTACAACACACCCCATGCCACCCCGGTAGGTGAAACTAGGCTACTAGCTACAGTACAGATGCAACTAGATGAGTTGTTAACTCTCGCTCTGACTTTTCTTTTTTAAACACACACGCATTTTTCCCACCCGCATTACGCGAAGACCCGCCCTACTGTGCCTCTGATTCGCAGACTGTTGGTGGGGGGAAAAAACGCTGACGGGATGCTGAATGTGATTGGACCAATGCGTTGACAGACACACACAGACAGTGGAACAGTCGTACATGCAGAGCGCTGTTTGCAGTGGACATAGCGGAGAATTTTGACTCGTTGCGTTGTGGCGATGTCTCACAGATAACACAGATAATACAGATAATACATATGAAAAGTATAATTTGCTCAGAGTCCAGAGACAGTTGTGGTTCGGTCCGGATCCGGACCGGAGTCCGGACTTTGAGGATGCCTGGGTTAGGGTAACGTAACCCTATTACAACAGAGATCAACAACCTATAACAGGGCCTATGCACAGAATGCAGCTATTCAATACTCATTCTTGGAGAGGCGGGTGCGGAGACGATTCACAATCAGGCCAGCTGTAGAGAAGACCCTCTCAGCTGGAATTTGGGCATAAGATGAGGTTTGAGTCTGCGTGATCTGCGTGTAGGGAGGGGCAGCAGCCATATCATTAGCTAGATCTGATGGATTTGGACATTACGAGTGAAGTATAACCGGACGCGAGAGAGAGAGATCAGCACCTGCAGCTCTGCCCGCTGTGAGGGACCGGTGAGCCGAGCAAAACACACATTTAAACCTAACACATTTAGCTATGGCACTGTCGTATACATTGAATTATTCCATTTGATAATATGTAATCAATTTACGCACCCCTCCCAAAAAAATAAAAATATATATATTCATAACTCATTCTCATATTCGAATACCTGAATAAATTTGAATATTCGATTAATCGTTCCCATCCCTACTTTGTATACACGTAATTGGTGTAAACTATCTCTATGTAATGTCAAGTTCTATGAGAAGTCACATGATTTTAGTGGTTTGTTATCTGCTGGAGAGCCTTACTGTCTTTATGACTGTATACGTGCAGCTCCAAAATACTCTGCGCTGTGTTCAGGGTGTCCCAGCTTCCCGATGTGGAGATAAACTCTTTTGTCTCCATTTCCACTCACGTTAAAGTGGCTTTTGAACGACGGCTCCACGTTAGCAGTTCCATAATACATGTAGGCGATGAGCTTCAGAGACGTGTCTCCTGCTGAGCGCTGATACCACAGAATAGTGTCGTAGCTCGGGATCTGATGCTCCAGACTCAGCGTGGCTTCACTGTTTGGTTCCTTTATCAGTTCAGAGGGAGTCTGAAACACTTTGTCATTACTGAGGGAAACTCCTGGAAAGAGATCAAGATGCCATTAAGTTATCTGGCACTTGGAGCTGTTACATTTACTGGAAAATCAAGAGCTTTGATATCTTTCACCTTGACTGGTGAACTTGTGCCTAAGTAAGACAAAATGGCTTTATTAATGTGCAATACCTTTAACCCAGAAGACGATGATGATGGAAACGATGCATTGAGATGGCTTCATGTTGAATGTGAAGAAGCAGCTACAGTCTCTCAGCTTAGTGGATCAGGAGGAGGGACAGGAAGTGATGTAAAGAAATCAGAGAATAAGTTGAAACTATAACACTTTCTATCATTCAGTCTGCCTTTTCCTGAACTGCATGAGACCTCTCATGATCACAGGGAGATATTTTACTCTTTAACCTACTTTCAGAGTGGGGGGGTGGAGAGGTTTTTGTGAGGAGTAGATGGGTGTTTGATGTACTGTGCCATCCTGGCTGCACAGTAGTAGGTGGCGGTGTGTTCAAGTGCTTTTAGATTCTTTATGGAAAGCGAACCATTTTTTATTTTATCCTCACTCAAATCTCCAGCTAATTTAAAATGTTTTCTAAACCGTTGTTCCACGCTGTCGTTTGTGAACTGTGAATATCCATATCCAATGAGTTCCAGAGCCTTGTCCCCGGGGGGCTGCTGGTACCACAGCATCACTCTGTACTCAGTGTGTCCGTGAGTGCAGAAAAGCTGCACGTCTTCTCCGGCCTTTCTGATGATAGCAGAGGGAAACTGGTCGACCTGAACTCCCAGAGAAACACCTGCAAAAAGAGAGAAAATACCTAGTTAAAGCTTGAATATAAAAACATACTAATTAATACAGAGAATAATTCACATTACCTATAAAATAACAGGAAAGTAGACAACAAATCATTTTGGTTCTTTGTCACATGCAGATTTAGTTCTCAATGATGGTAATGAGAGGCGAACCCTGGCTTTATGACTGGACTGATAATGAGAAAAAAGCAGCAGATACATGAGGAAGTGAGGTAGAAATCACATGACAGGAACATTGACAGCAGCTGGCTGGTGAAGGCAAGGCAAGCTTATTAAATTATTATCGTCAGTCGTATTTTAGACTAGTGAAAGGAAATACACCAAAATATACATTTAGCTGTTCATTTTACTAACTGTATGTTATTGTTTGAATATTTATTCTTCATTTCCCAAAAGATAGCAGAAGCGAATGCCCAATTTTCCATATTTAAAATTAACTTTTCAGAAAACTAGCAATGAAAAAAAACAACATCTTTTCCCCAGACATTGCTTTTTATCTATTGGTCCAATCCCTTTTGTGAATATTTTGTGTTGGTTTATTGTTAAAAAAAAAAGATTGCTATTCTGTAAATTGGGTTGATTGAAGAAACCTTCTGACATGATTGGATGAGATTTTAGTGACGTAGGGGGTTGGCGTAATGTGATTGGTCACCATTTAATTACACCGCTCTTCTAATCTGGCAATGCCCCCCTCCCCCAATGCCCCCCTCCCCCACTGTTTTCAGCGGTTGAAGATGGATACACGAAATTCCCACCGTCTGAGACACCAAAGTTATTTGCAAAATACTAAAAACTTTAGACAACTTTACAGCCATGTGAAGGAATTATGTTACTACCGTCTCCAAGATGCTTCAGGAGTCCATTTGTTTGTTTTGGAGGATGTTCTTCACACCAACACCGAGTTTTTCTGTCATGATTTTGGCTGCTTGGGACTCTAGGTTCACTTCTCTCTGAATCTTCACTTCACAAAGGTAAGAAACTGCTGCTTGTGCTAACAGGAATTGTGTGAGTTGTGCCCTTAGCCAGCTAGCAATGTTTGGCTAAGCTAACTAATGGTTTTTGACTTACTCTGGTAGTTTAGCTAACACTTAGTCTGACGTTGGGATAGCTTTAGTTCAACAGTGAACTTCAGTGCTCATCTTGCCTCTGTTATTTTTGCCCACAGGGGTTTAGAAGTGAAAAAAGCTGTGAATGTTATCTTCTCTAGTTTATTTTACTGTTAGGGGTCCCTGAATTTATTGGA